CACCATTCTCGGAGAAAGAGGTGTTCGATGCAATTGCATAGATGAAGAATAATAAAGCTCCGGGGCGGACGGATTTCCGGTGGAGTTTTATAAGAGGTGCTGGCACATTATCAAAGGGGATCTCTTACCAATGTTCCAGGATCTGTTCTCCGGACAGCTTCAATTGTTTCATTTGAATTTTGGAACAATAACAATACTCCCGAAGAAAACAGAGGCTGTGAGAATTGGGCAGTTCAGGCCCATCTGTCTTCTGAATATTAGTTTCAGATTTTTGACCAAGGTTGGGACTAATAGACTCACACAGATAGCGCACTCTGTGGTGTAGCCGACCCAAACTGCTTTCATGCCGGACAGAAACATCCTAGAAGGGGTTGTAGTCCTGCATGAGACGCTCCATGAACTCCATACGAAAAAACTAGATGGGGTTGTTTTCAAAGTGGATTTCGAAAAGGCGTACAACAAAGTTAAATGGCCGTTTCTGCAATAGGCATTGCGTATGAAAGGTTTCGAACCAGCTTGGAGAGGCAAGGTTGAAGCCTTTACGCAAAAAGGGAGTGTTGGAATCAAAGTGAATGATGACATAGGCCACTATTTCCAGACACATAAAGGCCTGAGGCAAGGAGATCCGATGTCACCTATTCTGTTCAACATAGTAGTTGACATGTTGACCATTCTGATAGGTAGGGCAAAGGATGCTGGTCAAGTAGGTAGCCTGGTTCCTCATCTAGTTGATGGAGGAGTGTCTATCCTACAGTACGCTGATGATACTATCATCTTCATGGAGCATGACTTGGCAAAAGCGCGAAACATGAAGCTAGTGTTATGCTTATTCGAACAATTGTCGGGGTTAAAGATTAACTTTCACAAGAGTGAACTGTTCTGCTTTGGAAGAGCCAAAGAAGAACAAGAGGCCTATAAGCAATTGTTTGGATGTGAAGTTGGGAATTTACCTTTCACGTATCTGGGTATACCAATTCACCACCGTAAGCTAACAAATAGAGAATGGAAGTGTATCGAGGATCGATTCGAGAAGAAACTAAGCTGCTGGAAGGGCAAGCTGATGTCGTATGGGGGCCGATTGATTCTTATTAATTCGGTTCTCACCAGCATGCCCATGTTTCTTTTATCATTTTTTGAGATACCAGTTGGAGTTAGGAAAAGACTGACGAGTTAAAAAGGAAGTACCGACTCACTAAATGGGATATTATTTGCCGACCAAAAGACCAAGGGGGTCTAGTATCGAAAATCTCGAGGTGAAAAACAGATGCCTTCTCAGCAAGTGGCTGTACAAGTTATCTGTGGAGTCGGAAGCCACGTGGGCGGTAGATTCTGCGTAACAAGTACCTTCAATCAAAAACTTTGTCACAGGTGACGGCCAGGCCGACAGACTCACCTTTTTGGAAAGGGCTGATGAGAGTTAAATCAGCTTTTTTCAACAGAACAAAGTTTGTTGTCGGAAACGGTACCTCCACGAGATTCTGGGAGGATACGTGGCTAGGGGAAACACCGCTAACGCTTCAGTATCCTTCTCTTTATAGCATCGTACAACGGAGAGATGCTCGGATTGCTACCGTGCTTGGGTCCACTCCCCTCAATATCCAATTTAGGAGAACGCTTGTAGGAACGCGTTGGGAAGCCTGGCTCCATTTGGTGAGAAGACTGATGGATGTGCAGCTTGCTCAACGGCTAGATTCGATGAGTTGGAAATTAACTAGGAATGGAGAGTTCACAGTTAAATCCATGTACTTAGATGTGATCAATTCTAGCTCTATCCCGAGTTCCAAACATGTTTGGAATGTCAAAGTACCTTTGAGGGTTAAAGTGTTTATGTGGTTTGTACATAAACAAGTCATTTTAACCAAGGACAATTTGACAAAGCGCAATTGGACCGGTTCGACGAGATGTAGTTTGTGTGATCGCGACGAGACCATCAAACACCTCTTTCTCGATTTTCCTATGGCGAAAGTTCTGTGGCGGACTGTTCATATTGCTTTCAATATTACTCCTCCGAATAATATCAGCATGTTATTTGGGACGTGGCTGGATGGGATAGAGACCCAAACAGCAAGACACATTCGTGTAGGAGTTTGTGCTTTACTTTGGGCAGTCTGGAACTGCAGAAATGATTTGGTTTTTAACAGAACAACAAATACTCATTTTTTACAGGTTATCTTCCGAGCTACTTCGTTGATCCGTATGTGGTCGCTACTCACTCAGACGGAGGCCAGGGAGCATTTGGTTACTGGATCTACCCGATGGAAGATGGTAGCTCGAACTATATTCAGCCGGTTTGGATGGCGATCATGTAATAGGATAGGCAATTAGTTTTCCTATCTTTTTGATGCATGTCGGCTGTGGCTTTATTTTTGCGCTCTTTGTGAGCTGGTTGTTCGATACTTTGTAACGAATTACATGACCTTTTTGAACCTTTGGGCTTTTAATAAATGTGGCCGTATGCATCCGTCTGATACAGAGGCCGGGGCTGTGCCCCTTTTCCAAAAAAAAATAGTCATGTAGTAATGATTTATTGGTAGTACATAGATTTGGTGATTTGGAGAGTAAACGTGAACCAAGAACCATGCTGACAGTGGGCCAGGGGGACAAGAACTGTCTCTTTGCCTGGTGAACTTTAATGTTGTTTGTCTAGACCTGAAAAGGGGCAGCGAATGGAGATAGGCAGAGATACCGTCTTCATGCAAATCCATATCTACGAATAATTTTCTCGGAAAAAACTAAATATGAATATGAAGTGTACACAGTGGCTCTTGAGCCTTCTCAAAGAGCTCTCAGCTTTTATTGAACTTTTTGTCATGTGAGCAGTTTGTCTTCTACAGTAGTTTTAACGTGTATTTACTTTTCATGTTGGGTGAAAGGGTATGGAGCCATCTGATGATATGAAGAGATAGGTTGGCAATATCCATCCGTCATGCAACTACTATCATCGTGTGATGTTCTGTGTGAGGCAACGTCTAAGCGGCTATGTGTTTGAGCCTACGAGTTAGATCAGTCCCCCCTTAACTACATAAGGCCGATAGATGGTACTTTGAGGCTGATATACATAACTTCTCCATTGGACTTATGCAAGTATAGTGGGTACATTGCTCTGGAGGTTCTCAATTTCTGTTATATTTCCATTTAGGTTGTTAAGCTTGTAAAGTATGCTCCATGAATATAAAAACTAGGGGCATGCATAGCTGGGTCATGCATGCAACCTAGGCTGCACAGCTGCGGAAACTTAGGGCCTGTTTAGGATTGTCATTTTTCTCCCAACCCTTGCAGGAATGGCTTGAACTAGAACTCTGAAATTCGTTTGGAATATATAGAAAATTAATGTGCCCCAAAGAAACCCTTCATTAAGTAATGCATTAATATGGGGCACAAGTTTATGGAAATTGACTTAGTATGGCACCAGCTTTAGAGCTTGGACTACACATTTCAATACACATGAGCATAGGTTTTTCCCTCACAAATCTGCAGATCCATACTTCCGTTCTATTGGTTCCCATTTTCTTGAATGCGGGGCGTACAAATTTTAGTAAAAACAGAAATCATGACCACTAATCCTCTCGAGGGCTTGCTTAAGAATAGGAAAGAAGACTCTTGTGGAAATGGCATGAAATACAATTTGATCCTATTCATGGGGATTCCGTAAATATCCCATTTCAAAACTCGAAACAATGGTGTAGCAACTTTTCTTCGGGAAATGTGGAAATGACCCTAGATTTCAATTTCCCGGTGATACTGGCCGATACCAAGGTTACGTCAAGGTGGATGATATTTATATTTTGTTATTTTGAAAACTAAAGTGAACTTTGAACTACTTCTCCTCGATTTCATTAACTAGACCACATATCAATGGGCCCGCTTGAATGGCATGCAATCACCCAAGAACATATTGAAATACTATAACCATGTAGATCATCGTGATTGACATCAAAATTTTTAGTTACCAGTCGATTGAATCTAAATTTAGAAATCTGAAAAAGTTTAAAATTTCAATCCACTGATAACCAATTAAAATCTTGTTTGACGATTACAAACCACGAACTACACCCCTACAAGGAGAACGTGGAAACTCGGGAAACTCCACCAAATAGGCATCAATTCCTAGATTCCCACATCTACACCAATATGATCGGGTGTGTCGCCTCCATGGGATGAGCATGCTTGTGCTTCTTGAGGTCACGGAATTCGTTCCTAATCTTTGCAACTCTAGACTAGTGATGCTAGACGAACCACAGGCGCATGCGTGTACGTGTGGTGGTGTACGTGTACGTTAGTAAGCGAGTTTAGGAAATCATTGTGGCACTATCGATCACATCCGAACAACCGAATAGATCTAAGAAGACCTAATTACGTACCAAAATGAAGGTTTGATGAGCTAAGCGCGCAATTTTATGCCGAAAAAGGCTTTCGCCCCGCTTTATATATAAAGCAGCGCGCAATTTTATTGGCTCAGCGCCTCAGCCACAAACTATGGACGATGAGCTATTTAGTACATAGGATTAGCCAGGCCAAACGTACGTACCACCGGTCATCTGTGTGCTACAGCGAAATATCCCTTGCCCTAATTCGAGGGCACGCTACAGTAGACGTACGAAATGATTGCCACATAGGATCATACGCACTCGGATCACGCGTCACGACATCCCTAGAGAGAGAGACCCTGATCCTTGTCGGGCCCTAGGAATTCTAACGTGTGTTTGCACAGCGCCCGACGTGTTTTACTGTTCCCCGCCGATCTAGCTAATCCCTTTCCTGTGCTCTCCACCCTCTCTCTAGCTACCTCTCTGTGAAAGTGATCATACAAGGCCTCCCTCTCTCTCTCGGTTCCTTTATAAAAGGGACCCGACCCCCCCTCCTGTTCGTGATCTCTCTCGATCGGCTCTCTGCAAACTGCACATCACAGTGCTAGCTAGCTAGCTCCTCCCCTCCCCATCTCATCCTGATCTCCAATTATCTGCGCTCCCTAGCTCGCTAGATCTCCTCTAGATCTCATCATGTCTACCATCTACATGAGCCAGCTCTCTACTGCTTTCCCTCTAATGGAGGAAGATCATCACCAGGATCACCATCAGGGGCACTTCCAGGCCTTCACCCTGCCCAAGGATCCCCCCATATTGTTCCCTTTTGTGATCAGCAACAGCGGCCCTAGCGACAACAGCAGTACTCTCAGCTACGGATCAGACCAGCACTTGATGCAGCACCATGCCATGCTAGATCAGCCCCAACATGTAAGTTGGAACAATTTCTTTCTCAGTTCTATATGTACTACGTATTAGTTTGCTTGGTCACTTTCTGGCTAGCTGCTCAATTAACACGATCCTTTGATTTGTTATGTGCATCAGATGATCGGTGAATCATCCAGTGTGTTCTCGACGCCGTTCCCGACCGTCGAGAGCATCCGCGACGACATGATCGAGCGATCCTACTCGTACGATCCATATGATATGGAGAAGCTGCAGGCCACCAGCGGATCGCTCAAGATCGGCAAGTGGACGGCGCCTGCTCCCGCAGCCAAGATGAGGATCACGAGGAAGACGAGCGATCCTGGTGTCAAGAAGCCGAGGAAGAGGGCGCAGGCATACGAGGATCATGGCCACATGGGCGGCATGAACCAAGCTCTGGGTGTTATTAGGACATGCTCTGATTGCAACACCACCAAGACCCCCTTGTGGAGGAGTGGTCCTTGTGGCCCCAAGGTAGTACTACGATTTGTTTGTTAATTCCGTGGTCACTTGGTAGGAGTACAAGTTAGTTAATGGTGCAACGGTAACTAACTTCGCTCCGGTTTGCATGGCGCAGTCGCTTTGCAACGCGTGCGGCATCAGGCAGCGGAAGGCGCGCCGGGCGATGATGGCCACCGGAGCGGCGCCCGCCACGGATGTTGGTGCCACCAAGGCGGCCGCGCCGGGTGACGACGCCGTGACGGTGCACCCACCGAAGGTGAAGAAGGAGAAGAGAGCTGCCGACGTCGACCGGTCTCTGCCGTTCAAGAAACGGTGCAAGGTGGTCCAGGATCACACTGCCACAAACGCCGCTGCTTCCACCACCGTCGAGGCTGCCACAGAGCCACCGGTCGTCGTCACCACCACCACCACCACCACTGCTGCTGCTGCTGCACCGGCGAGGGATCTCGTCGACACCATCGGGGCCAACTGGAGCAAGAGCCCTACTGTCGCCGCAGCTGCTTGCTTCCGGCCATCGCCGGCGACGTTCGCGGTGCCGGTGCCGGTGCAGGACGAGATCACGGACGCCGCCATGCTGCTGATGACGCTGTCCTGCGAGCTTGTCCGGAGCTGATCGATCCACACATGGAACACTCGAGAGACTCTGATCTATCCACCACGGTACCCCCCCGGGCTTTTCTGCCTTAGTCCGTTAGACAGTCGGTACGTACTGTCCGTGCTGCCGCGTTTTTGGTTTCTTGTTCTTGTTGCTAGTGTAACCCTGCGCTACTGTTAAAGTCTTGTGATTCGTTTGTGTGTAAGATAAGATGGTGAGAAAGAGAGAGATCTAGAGAAAGAGAGGTAGAAACAAGGAGAGATCAGAGGAGAGAAGAGGATAAAAATAAAAAAACAACGTGAGCTAGCTAGCTAGGATTTGCAAACACTGTGAGATCGAGTGAGTTGAGTTTGAGTAGCTAGCTTTTTGTTGCCACGGCTAATAACCAAGCCAATGGCTACTATATAGCATGTATGTTTTGTTCTTTGTTTTGCTCGAACCATTTGTACTGTGACTCGTAATAATAAATACCGAAAGACCGGACCATGAAATGTCGCTGTTCATTGGGAATCGTTCATGACTTTTGCTTCTGATGCATGATTATATGTCAGTGATGACCTGCTTTAGTTTTTGTCAGCGCGCACAGTGTTAACTTTTATCATATGCGACCCGAGAAGCTTAATTAATTTGCGACCCGAGAAGCTTAATTAATTTGATGCACATACTGAATTGTGGATGATGCTAGTAGCTTTGCACAGGAAAGAAGGCATAACTTTCCATCGCCAAAAAAAGGAGGCATATTGGATTAGTATATCTTAATTTGGGTTTCTACTAAAATCAAACATTTCAAACCTTAGATGGGGTATCATCAAGTCAGTAGTAACTAGTAAGCCAAATGTTACACATGCCTCATCTGCAAAACAAAAGTTACACATGCCACGTTAGTGTGTTTCTTTCACTTGTATTCTCAAAACACAAGTTTAGCGCCGTAGCAACATAGTTATCATGTTTTACACTGAAATGCTATCAGGCAAAGCGTTTGTGGCGAACTTATCTCACAAACAACCAAACATAGCCAAGCTAATTTTTAGATCTAAGGAGATCCGTCCATATATTGACACACAGATCTTCTGTAGTGTCCTCGATTTTTTTGTCTCCAGTCCACGTTGAAAGTTCATAATAATTTGAGCCGCCCTTCATGTAGAGCCCCGAAGAGTTTTTATACTCTACCATTATGAAGAATCTACACATGTTGTCTCGTCCTATAGTGAAGAGTCTACCCATTATATACAAATCACAAATCCATGTACACTACCATTTCCGACCCTTCGGAAGAAAGAACTTCTTTTCAGAAAAAACCAACTGGAATGAGTGGTTAGCTATCTCAAAAACAATCAACAACTTCTTTTCAGAAAAAAAATTGGCTCCTTTTGGTTATCCATAGTCAAAGAAATTTATGAGTTCCAGTCCTTCAGAATTTTCAACTGAAACATTTGTGTTCTAACAATAAAACATTTGAATTTTCTTACTTCCCAATTCTGTAGGATTCGTAGAAAGATTTTTTTTTTTTGAAAAGGAGGATAACCCCCAGCCTCTGCATCAGAGTGATGCATGCAGCCATATTATTAATTAAAATGCGGAAACAAAATTTGAGGTCCAATACTGGCTCACAAACGGAGCTCAACAGAAAAAGATAATAAAAGATGCCACAGCTAGCGAAAATAAAAACAGGCTATGTTGACTAGACACCTAATATATTATTAGCTCGTCATCCAAATCGGTTGAAGATAACCCATGCTACCGTCTTCCGACAGTTGCACCCAGTAACCAAAAACTCTCTGGAGTCCTCAACCTCCATACAAAACTCACGTGCTTCCAACTTCTGATAGTGAGACCAGATAACTTCCATATCACCTTCTACATTTCAGTTTTTGTAGGATTCAATGTCACTATATTCTTGTGTTTTTCTTTATATCACTACATTTTCAATTCTTGCATTTCAAAGAGGCCCTAAAAGGTCATAATCATAAAGAAAAGTTCTATCATTACTGTTTGGACCTTAGGGTTGTAGCAAAGGAACTTTATATACCATAGTTATTTCTAGAATTTAAGGAAAAGAAAAACACGGGCGAACTCTAAGCTTAATTTCATTGATAAGGATTAGGGGCAGAATGAGCAGTAGGCTAAGCTTGGGGTTTAGCTAGCTTGAGAGTTGCACTTTGGTCATTTTATGTACTTTGTAAGAAATAATACAAGGATTGTTTCGAGGCCTGTCTCCGCGCCTGCCAAGGGTCGCAAAGACCAAATGAGGTGGCAGGTATAGCACATGATGGTGTATATATCGTCAAGGATCACTATGGCTTAGTTCAGTAAGTACTACAAAAATTGAGATGCATTTTCCTACATTTTGTAGTGAATATTCATTTTGTTCTTATTAATAATCTGATTGTTGATGCTCGTATATGCTCATATTTTTTTAAAAAAAAATGGGAGACTAGAGTTGTGAAGTTGCAAAACTGATGAAGTCAACAGTAACACTTCACTATCGACAGGAACGTCATGTCTCACTAAAAGGATAATCGGTGTTAACGAGACACACTTTTAACGCCGGGTCACACATGGGTTCTCTTGCGATGGTATTCCTTGCTATTGGTTTCATTTAATTATAAAACTAGGGTGTGCCAGTTTCTTCAGACTCATAAAGACATATTGTTTTCTCACGAGCTATAAGATGAGGCACTAATTTTTTCAGATACAAAATATCAGGCACAACTTATTCACAATAATTTCATAATTAAGGTAGAAGTAAGGTAAACTCCTATTTAAACTAGTGAGTTTGCAAGCTTGAATGTCTACCCCTACATCCTCCTAGACGAGTTCGGTTTATTCATCCCCAGTCAGGGTTAAAAATTTAAATGAAACTTCATTGAAAATTTGGAAATTTAGCATATTTCCGAAGGGTCCAAAAATATTTTTAATCATGAAATTTCAAGTCAGATTTGAACTAAATTTAAAATAACTTAAAATCCAATAAAATTTGAAATCTCAAAATCTGGTCCCCCGCCCCCCCCACCCCACCCCCACACGCGCGAAATTTCGCATACTTCGGTGAGGTCCGAAATGGTTTTGTTTACGAAATTTAAAACCTTGTCCCCCATAACCCGATCTCGTAATCTAAAAATAATAATCCAAGATTGTATAGTTCATGCAAGTTACACAGACTAACCATGGCCAAATCTCCGTGGGTACAAATTTTCTTTAGAAAGACAGTACAGAGAGGCAGAAAATGAAATGTAAGGTGACTGTGCTTGAAAGACAAACACGCATGGGCGCGCGACAGGATTGAAAGTTGAAATCGCGGCAGTACTACCGTAGTCAGGCAGGAGGAAAGAAATCGGTCAAGCATTTTTCTTGTCACTATGCAGATGCCACGATTGAAAGCACGCAGGCGCGAAAGAGAGTAGTCAAACATGCAATACACCGTCAGTGGCTCAGTATGACAGCCGCAGGGCAATGCATGTCACGGGCCAGGCTCACTTACAGCTACTCACGCTAGATAACACTGTACTAGCGGCCAAAACTGTAGCAAAATAATGCATTTCGGTGGACTCGATCAGAATCCTCCGCTAATGATGCTACGCTGCACTGTATGTTTATCAGGGTCGTACGCATGGACACGTCTTGCTGCTTGAACTTGTATAACCATCTAAATGGTTGTCCGCAGGGCAATAGGGAAGGCAAGCCATACAGAAGCAAATGCTCCTGGTGTGAACAGTAAAATAAAGGGTTAATTATCCTTTTGCCTTCAGTGGTGTACATGTGCTCAGTTTTGCCCTCAGATGCGAATTGTACTCAGTTTTGCCCCTAGTCCGTGCGCACCGACTCGTTCCGTGAACTCTGCCGTCTCCGTCAAGTCAACCTTTTGACTCGGCCCTTACAGATGGGACCAGGCGGCAGAAACGGCCAATTTTATTCAGACCGTTGCACGCGTGGCTTGTGGGACCCAGCAAAGAGCCGTTGAGCAGAGAGCCGTTGGCGCGTGTGCTATATAAGCGGGCGACAGCGGCGGTTACCACGGCGACAGAGAGCACGACGGTGACCACGGCGAGAGAGAGAGCACGGCGGCGGGAAGCTAGCTGTGGAGGGCGCAGCGGTGGGAAGCTAGCAGTGGAGGGCGCGGCGGCGTTGAGATCCCCTTCGGCCCCGAGCTCCATGTCTTCCTCAAGCTCCCGCGCCACCTCGCGGATGCAGAGCCGGGCGCGTGTGGACATGCCTGTCTTCGTCTGTCCGCGGTGCCGGGCGGGCGTTGATCGAAGGGTTTCTCAGACACCGAGGAACCAGAATCGTCCGTTCTACGTGTGCAGCGAGAATGGGGTAAGAATTGGGGCAATTGCACCATTTTCGTCGTCGGGATGTTTGAGCAATGGGTTGATCTGTTTGGTGTTCATGCAGGTGACATGCTTCTTTCTTTGGGTCGATGCTCTGGCCAAGACTCTGATGAATGAACTGCAAGAAGAGCATGAAGAATGGTTGCGCATGCTGCCACAAACGGCAGTGGCCACACCACGAGCTCCGGAAGAAGAGATGGATGGCGAAGCACGCACTGACAGAGAGCTAGCTATTGAGCTTAGGATGTTGAAGAAGAAGGTTAGGAAGCTTGAAGATCAAGCACTACCAATACCCATTTGCAAATACTTTTGGGCATTTGGTAATCGCACTGGTTGTAATGTTGAAAATGTATGGAAAGGCATGAATTATGAAGGAATTTGTAATCTTGAAATTGTTTGAGAAATTCACCTAGTTTAGATGTTGGTTAAAGTTGTTTAAATGTTGAAACAAAAAGAGAAGAAGTGACCAACATTTAAATATGTTGGAAAAAAAGAGAAGAAATTAGGAATTCAGAAACTTTTGATCAATGAAATGCAGCTCTCTGCTCTGCCTTTCTGTCCAAAAAAAAGGTTGCTCTTGGGCCAAATTCAGAGCGTAGAGCCAAGTGCAGGCTAGACTAATGGGCCAACTGCATCCAATTAGGCCCATTCAGGGGTTTTCTTGCGTATTTTTTGTTTTCTATTCTGATT